AGGGTCTGAGTTTTACCTGTGCCTCTTGCATCTCTACAGTTACGGGTTGCAGGTACATAGAAAGGCAGATTTGTATATGTCTTTGTTTAAATAAAGAGTGAGGTTAATGGCTGTTGTTTATTGAGAAGGTTGGGGAAAGGTAACTTTATTTTAAACCAGGAGAAGGTGGTGGTTAATTCCCCATTTCTCCAGCCTCTGTGGGACTCTACCAGGCCTCTGAAAAAAACTCTAACTTTTATTAGAACTTCCCTGCAATGACCACTAGGCCAAAACTGCTTCTGGAGCATGTCTGAGCTCCCGTGGGTTCTCCTCTGTCTTGTACATATATATTATCCTTCTCTTCCTCAAAAATCTGTGATAGTGAACTTGTTCCTACCCAACAATGCCAAGAGACAGTCCTCCTTTTCCTCACTTTAATGTCTTAAACAGACCTCCTGCTTGGAAACACGGTGCTAATACCAGATGCGTCTAACCACCTGCTTAACGGGCAGCCCCTATCCCTGTACTGGTGAACTGTTCCATCCTGTTGCCTGTTGGGGGGTGGGGGAGGAAAGCCCACACCAGAATCTGTGAATGCCATCCATCCATGCATTTGTGCTTTTATCCGGTTCTGGTCAGAGGTAGATAATGTCCGCCTGCTTCTGCATTTCCCCACAGAAATGACATGTGCTTCCCGATTTCAGGAATTCCCTGGTGTTATCTATTGCTGAAGGGGATAGAAAACATACAAAGTGAGCCAGTGGAAACATACGTTACTCTTCTGTATATTATCTTTTGTTCTTTTATCAGAAATTGCAAGCTGGTGTCGGTAACAAGGTTATTCATTCCAGCTGGCTAGTTACACTTTGATCACCAATGCTTCAGCTACTGTAATCAACTGCAGTTGCACTAGTTTTGTTTCGAAGTGTTATCAAGTACTAAGATAATTCCCGGTAGGTTTTGTAGTGCTTTCCCCAAGTCCATGCAGGGTAGAAGGTCCCAGTTGGCATTGTTGTAGACACTCACTAGTCTGCAAGCCTTACTAATGGGTTATCCTCATTAGTACTGATTTGGGAAGTTTTTCTATAATCCACTCAGGCCCATATCAATTCTTCCTTTGGGGCACAACGTGCCTATAAAATGTGGGATGGACAGATGCGCATGCACATATGCATACATATACACACACAATTTAATGAAAACTTAAGCTACATTTCTTTGACATTGTTTTAATACTTGTTAGAAAGGTCCAAGGGTTTAGTTATTGGTACCCCAAAATACAATAGATGGATTTTTTTAATAGTGATAAATTACAATGGTGGTGGTCATGGTATAAATAAGTACATAGACTAAAAGGGATAAGAGTATGAAAAGGTTAAAAATAAGATCCTACATGTTTTTTTTTTTAATCCAAATGTGTGTGCCAGTTCTCAAGCTGAAGCTTGTCAAGGCTAGTCAATGTCTAAAGGGAATACCATGGGGTTAGTCATGAAAGTGGTGTGAAAGAAATGTAAAATTTTGATGAAAAGAGCAGCTGAAAACCAACCCTATAACTTTATTATTATTCAGATTATTTAAAGGTTGAATGTGCTTGTGTGTATATATTATTCTAGTGATTATAGAGTAATTCTCCTATTTCATAAGTCGTGAACAACTTTATTAGAACAATTATTAGGTTGTTGCTTCATTCTAAATCTTTTTATTGTCATGTTTGAAAATCCAAATGTTAGGTTTATTTTTAATACACATTTACCACCTGGATAAGACACGTGTGATATATTTATGGTGTTTTTAACAGAAAATTGGTGGAATGAACCAAGCTTGCAGTATAGGCATGGTTCCTCCCGCTTTCTAAAGTCATGATCAGCAAAACTTCTGAGTTCTGTGTGGTTCAGCTGCAGAGGCCAGATGTGTTTCAATATAATTCTGAAACCTGAGTTTTGACTGCAAGTGGCAAATTCTTCTATTTTTAGTAACACCCATAGATTATTGTGGAACATGAAGACATGCTCTGTGTGTACCTATGGAAAGTGGTGCCATTTCAAGAGATGACGTTGACTTAACTGAGTGTGCCATAGGAGAACAATGACATAACCACATCAGAGGAGGTTCTCAGAGTTCATATGGCACTGTCCACTAATCACCTTCCTTTAATTGGAAATACACACATTTTCTGTTAATCCCTGTCCAGGCTCCTCTAATGGACATTTGTAGGTTTTGGCTTATGATATATGATATTTTTCTGCGTACTACTTTACTGAAGTCTGAGATGCTACAGTCAGCCCTGTTAAATCACATTTGTGAAAAGGGTCAGGTTTGGAAAAGCCACCGGAAGTGTGAAATGACAGTTTGTTTTATCTGAACTATATAAATCCATTCATTGTGCAAAAGAGAGCTGAAAAAGAACAGGCTTTGTGATGAGGTTTCTGGTACTTCCTGGCTGTGGTAAAGTCTGACGTGTCTCATGAGTGTCTTCTCTTGTGGTATTGAAGCATTTCTGCTTGCAGCTTCAGACAGAAGCAGAAAGGATGGAGGCAAGCTGTGAAAATGGAAAAGCTTTCTTAAAAAAAAATTGTACTTTCTGTGTGTGTGAGGGGGAGAGAGTTAGTGAGTTTCAGGAAACTTTAGTTTAGGGGAAAATTTATCTCAGATAGTTTGTCCATTCCTTATTTTAATAAATGCAGTGTTACCTCTTTGGTTTATCAATGCATGCCAAGTTGGTTGAGACAAGGTTATGTGACTTCCGGTAAAGAAGCTATGGGTTTGAATTTTCTTTTAAGCTATGGGGCATTAGATTTCCATTATAAACTAATGTTAGGCTAATCAAAAAAGTTTTCTGGTCTATCTGTACCTCTTGAGTTGTAAAATTGGGCTGAAAATCTCAGGAGAACATGCTTTTTTATAATATTTCCAACATGCTGTAAGGCCAGCTTTCCTCATGGTATTTTGACAGTTTGTTTCCTGTTCTCCAGTTAGAAACCAGAATTGCAAAAACACATGGGAAAAAAACAAACAAACCTGGAGAATCTGCAAACATTTCAAAACCTAACAGATGCTTCTTTCTAACGTGAGCAAAAATTGGGTGTTTCTTATTTTTGCAACAAGTCTGCTCTTCTATACTATAAATGTTCGTATTCCTGCCTCTCAGTCAGTGTCTTAAGATGAAGGCAGCTAAAAAAGCTGATTCAGACTTCTGTAAAAACCTTTGGCACACCCCTGTTTTCAGGAACAACTCAGTTTATATTGTGGTTACACCCACCATTAGTTGCAATCTTCTTGCTACTTGTGCTGTGCAGTATATGTTTCCAGCATATGTTTACACATGCTTTTAAATAACTGCAGTGTTTCATAAACAGCAGATGATAAAAGACAAAATCAAAAGTTTCCTTCTCCTTCAACTTCTGTTAGAAATTTGCATCAAGCTTTATCACAGAGATACTGTGCAATGAATGATATGACTCTCTCCCATTATCTGCTTACACTAAAGAAAAGTTTGAATTACAGTTTAGACTGAGAAATGGATCCGTATCTGAACTTCCTGAAAGTCACGGAATTGTTTGCATTCAGAGTTCTGGTACAGCCCATTACAATGAGATTTCTGAGTTGCAAAGTTTGGTTCTGAATCAGATCCAAAGTTCCCCAAAATACAGGACTCGGGGGTGGAGGGGAGTAGGTTTTTCGATACAATGTTGTGGTTTGGGCCTAACTGTAATTTACTATGAATTGCTTATTCATTTTTTTAAATTTAGCATTAGCCATAACGGTAATGGTGATGTGTGAGTGGGATCAATAATGCGTGTTCCATCATGTGCCTCATTCCTACCACCTTTCTTTAAATATGTGAACTGTGTTTTAACTTCCAGGCACTTCTGAAATAAATAACCCTATGGTCATATGTTCATTTTTGCCAAAGCAATCAAAATAATTCTGCTAAGGATTGGAGAAACAATTGAACGCTCAACAGCAATTTTTACTAAGAGGAAGGAACTGATTGAAAAATTGATAATAGAGAAGTTCAAAGCTAAGAACTACTTGTAAGAATGTGTTCACTGGCCTCAACTGCACAAAGCTATTATAGTTCAGGAAGGTGCATTTTGTGGAATTAATATATCTAGTGAATAAGTAACAAATATTAAAATACTAAATAATATTTAAATCCAGCAGTGTGGTGGGGAATCCTAAATGCTGCTGTAGTGAAGGTACAGCAGTCTAGAACTGCTTTGGGGGAAAAAAAAAAAAAAGTCCAACTAGCAGCCAGTGTGGCTGTAAAAGCTTACCTTGGATATCAGAAGTTTTGAAAATAACCCAGGGAGAAAAGTGGAAGGCAACCAAACAATGATACAAAGTGTCTGATGCTTTTAGGGGAAAAGAATGACGGAAAGAAAAACAAAGGATTAATTATAGTTATCTAATGAAGGGGAGAACAAGAAAAACAATATTATTAATAAATAGATCATTCCACTCCCTCTGCCAGGTTGCTTCACAACATCACAACCCATAAATATAAAATAGATAACCATATATATTGTACAGCCATTAAAAAAGGGCTACAAAGATCCTCTACAAGGGCTGGCCAGGATTAAAATGGAAAACACCTGAGGGGTTTGAATTCTGATGCATTCTGTCCTCGCAAGGTAACTCTGCAAAATTTTCACCTACCAACCCAAGACATGATGGTTAGAACTAGGCAATTTTTTTTTTTTTTGGTTGCCAGAAATGTATTTTTCGGAGTGCTGACACTATTTGCTGAACTTGACCTGAATTCAACAAATAGTATCAGCCCACAAAAAAAAAAATTGGAAAAAAATTGTTTTGGAAATGTCAAAACATTTTCATTTTGACACTTTCAGAACAAACCATTTTGACATTTTGTTTTGAGTTGACCTGAACAAATGTTTTGCATTCTTCCTCCCTGAAATTTAAAAAAAAAAATATGAATTTCACTTCAAAACTAACTGAATGTTCTGGAGATTTTTTGGTTTGTTCTCCTGGATGGCAGATGGTATCAGAGGACGGGTTGGGTATAGCCATTCAGAAGGAATTAAAAACGCTCCAGAAACTTGGCAAGTTTTAATATTATTTTATACTGTTTGGTTAGTTCAAGACTTTAACTCAATGGTCATTAGGCAGTTGGTGGCTTAAACAACAAATGTTGCCAGCCATTAGACTACACTGTTGAGGAGGGGAAAAGTGGGTGATGGAGGAAGCAAGACAATGAGAGATGTGATGTGCAAAGGGGAGGGACGGGGGATGACTTGCCTCATACACCTCATCATAATTTTCTGTATCAAGCAAAATTCTTTTTCCTCTCCCCTGCCATGTGATTCCATATACGGTAAGCGACAACCAACAGTGCCATTTGTTAAGAGCAACAAAACCTTAATGTTGAATAGGGGCATCCATATTCAATATGTAAAAATCTGCTGTTTATTTTAGATGGCAGTAAACTTTATACTAAAGTATACCTAGTTTCTCGTATGCAGTAGATAGAATTTAAATATTTGTATACTCTGCCATGTGCCTCTTGTTATCCAAGTTAGGCAAAGTATTTTTAGTCCATCTTCATATTCACCATTTCCAGTTACTGTGTGTATTGTCCTTATCTACTTGTTTTAGTGACAAAAAAGCTTTTAGTGCTTTCTACTCTTGTTAGCCCTGTGGAGCCAACACAGCAATGCGAGAGTGTGAACCGGATTCTGTTCCACCTAAAGCATTACCATCAACGTGATTTTTCACTATGTCCTAACCCACCTGTGCAACACCACTGAAGGAAGTGAAGTTGAACGGTTATCACTTGGGTTACAACGTGAAGACATTGTGGCTGCACAAGTGTCATTGAAGAATGTTTGGCTGGCTGAACTTTTGTTAGTCATGATGATGATGATGCATCAGGTGGAAAGAACCCAGATTAGTTCTTGGACTGCAAGCTGAGCTTTTGGGTCTGGCAGTTAGAGAAACAGCATTTTATTTGTTAAGCAGAGTACTTCTGATAGTATAACATTACATTATGCCATTTTTACAAAGTCACATTTCAGAGAAGAACGACGCTTTAAGTTTCAGTTCTAGAATAAAACATCTTGACACAAAGTATCCTTTAACTTCTCTGCAAATAATTTAGTGCAAATTACAGAAAGCTATAAAGTTGCACCAAATTAGGAATCTATACAGAGATTCTGGTGTCCAAGGGGACTGTTGGATTTTCCCTCATTGTACTTCTAAATTTTTTCATTTTAACACAGAATGCTTTTTCTACAAACGATCTGCACAAGATTATGTATATTAAAGGATCCATGCAAATATTTGTAGTAGCTAGCCAAAGAGTACTTTCTTTAGCAATGAATAATAGGTTCTGTACATTGCAGTCACTTGTATTGCCAGTTTGACTTAGTGTGTATGGTACTCTACAAAAATGAAATGGGGCAAAACATATGAAAAAGACAGCTACAATGATGAATACTTTCCCATTAATCCTCTGTTTGCTTTTGCTATCTTTCTTTTGAGTTTTTATATACGAATTATATACCTTTTTGGTAATAATTGCATAAAATAGAAGCATTAGAATTAGCACAGTCCAGAAGATAAACTGACATATGTAATTGACAGCTGCATGCCATTTCAGTCCTAAGGGATTCTTCAGAGAAGCACATTTCTTCACGGAAAGGGGTGTTGCTTTGTTGTTGGATAAAATCATATTTGGCAAGGAGAGGACAAAGAAGAAAAGCCAAACAAGACCTGAAAGAATTTGTGCAGCAGTGACATTTTGCACCCAAAACTTCCCAAAAGGTCGCACAATTTTGAGAAATCTGTCAAAAGCAATAAGTCCAAGTAGTACTATGCTAACATACATGGTTTCATAAAATATCACAGCTGAAAAGCGACAAACAAAAGCTTTAAGTTGCCATGGTCCCAGTCCTGAATCAGTAAGAATTTTCAGAGGAAGCATAAGAGTCATTATGAAATCAGAAACCAAAGTGTTTTTGAGGTAGACGATGAAAGTTGAGGTGCTTTGAATTTGGAAAAAAGCTCGAATAGCCAAACTGTTCAATATAACTCCAGTAAGGAAAATGACAGTGTATAGGATTGGGAATACTACATGTGCAATTCTGGTGTCTCTGTGGCATTGTCCAGAGAAAGATGATGTCCCATTGGTGACGTTGATGTTACTCCAGTTCATTGTTTAAAACAGAAGCTGAGGAGGAAAGTTATTTTTAAAAAAGTGAGAAGTTTAATATTTAAAATGTGATATGCTACTGACCTATGCATAATACATTCAGAAATATTTTAATATTCATTGCATTAACTACGTCTGTTGACCAAATTTGTGTTCTGTTTCCTACAAAAGTTAATCCTGTCTTTTTTCCTGTGTAAACCTTAAGGAAAAAGATACTTTCTGTATTACTTTATTATTATTTTCTAATCTATTAGAAATAGCATATAGTACATTAATATAGGACTCTGTTAATATACTATAATAGCTTGGTATCACAGCCAAATGGCTAGAAGACAGCTTATCTTCCCATGGAACAATAAAAAAAAAAAAAGAAAACCTGTTCAGTTTAAATATCAAGGTTAGGGCTTAAAAGCAACATGTTCTAAGGGGAATAACTGTGCTGTGGGTTACAAATAGCATTCAGGTTTTTAACATTTATTGGAGTACTTGTGGCACCTTAGAGACTAACAAATTTATTAGAGCATAAGCTTTCGTGGACTACAGCCCACTTCTTCGGATGCATATAGAATGGAACATATATTGAGGAGATATATATATATACACACATACAGAGAGCATAAATAGGTGGGAGTTGTCTTACCAACTCTGAGAGGCCAATTAATTAAGAGAAACAAAACTTTTGAAGTGATAATCAAGCTAGCCCAGTACAGATCTCCTCAATATATGTTCCATTCTATATGCATCCGAAGAAGTGGGCTGTAGTCCATGAAAGCTTATGCTCTAATAAATTTGTTAGTCTCTAAGGTGCCACAAGTACTCCTGTTCTTCTTTTTGCGGATACAGACTAACACGGCTGCTACTCTGAAACCTAACATTTATTGCTTATTGCAAACCGTATTTCATTTCTCAGCACAATTTTAAAACATTTATCTGAGCAGAAGACATAGAGTATAAGTTATTAGCATAGTCTATATTTAATGCATCTCTATGAACATAGATATTGAAGGTACCTGTATAAAGATTATGATAAAAAGAAATTCTCCTTTGTGTTGAAGGAATACTTGGTTGCTGTTCCTATGCTGATTGTTACCTTCACTGGTACATTCAGAATAGTGAAACTTGTCTTTACAGCGGAACATAAATGTGGGGTTTTTTTTTTTAATTTTCCTTCCTCATTTTCATGCACTGAATTAGTTAACCCATTCTGTGTCTACTAAATTAATCATTAGCTTTCATTTTAAAATAATATATTTACTATTAACTAGAAATAGACCCAAGGCCAAAAAACTCTAATGTGAAATGAGATTGAAAAGACTGGGACTGTTTATCTAAGAGAAAAGATTAATAAGATTGTTATGATAAAACTAAAAAATAAGGAATGGTACAGAATAGTAGATCATTCAACTTCTTTCATAACACAGGAACAAAGGAACAGCCAATACAATTGGAACGTGACCAATTCAAAACTCATAAAAAGATAATTTTTTTTACATAACCCACAGTTAGACTGTGGAACTTATTGCCACTAATATCGTGGATGCTGAGACCTGAGCAGCAGTCAAAAAAGGAATAGACATTTATATGGATAACAACAATCTCCAAATATGATAGCCAAGTTTGAGTTTTGGAAGGACTGTAAACCCTCAAGGTTTGGGTTATAAACCTGCTGTCATGATTACCAGACTAGCTCCACCTGTGATCCCTCTCTGATCTCTGAGTACACTCCCACAGGTTTCAGGCCTCATGTCTGTACCTCTCCTGTGATTCTCTCACTCTGAGACTGAATCCTGGGCTGCAGTACCCTGTGTATCCACTATTCTTACCCTGGAAGTCTGACTGGGTTCAGTATTTGCTGCTCTTATATTTGGGACTCTGTATCCACCGGATTACTTCTTACAGCAAAAGTGTTATTTACATAACCATAGAAACAATGCATAATTTATAAGAGAAAAGATTTCAAAACAGAAGGTATACGTGCTACGTCTATCCTACCCGGAGTCTAACCCTCCTCCTGATAGGTTTCAGAGTAGCAGCTGTGTTAGTCTGTATCCGCAAAAAGAACAGGAGTACTTGTGGTACCTTAGAGACTAACAAATTTATTTGAGCATAAGCTTTCGTGAGCTACAGCCCACTTCTTCGGATGCATAGTATGGAACATATATTGAGGAGATATATATATACACACATACAGAGAGCATGAAAAGAGAGCATCCTCCTGATGGAGCCTCCCATAGGTCTAACTCATCTTGTATTCTCAGTCTCAAAAATCTCTTTGACACCCCCATCTCCTTTTCATTCCTGGGTAAACCTGTCTGGGAAGCCCAGCAGGTGGTCACACCAGAGAATCAAAGTGATGAATTGCTCTTGTATTGTCTCAGAAGTGTTTGTTGATAAGTGTCTGTCAAGATCCACCCTTCCCCCTCCTTCCTGTGTGCATTTCTGGGTAAACCTGTTACTAAATATATGTATATAATGGACATCACAATTACCTGGTCAACAAATAATATTCATAAATTATTTCTGGCAACTCCAAATATGTTATACGCCCCTCTAACTATTGGGAGTTAGGAGGAAACTTTCCCTGTGGGCAGCCTATCTGGGTCCAGAACTTTCACGTGAAGAAACAGACGTTCTTGGAAGTCTACGAGCAGCTTGCCCCAACCCTTCAGTGCTAGGGTGCACACATGAGCAGGAAGATGGATACCTCAGACTGCTACAGGTCCATGGCTAACCAGTTTGGAGCTGGCAAATCAACTGTGGGGGTTGTGGTGGGGGAGGTTTGTGAGGGGATCAGGACTCTTGATGCACCCAAAAATGGTGGGCATTACAAATGTTCCTGAAATAATTGCAGGTTTTCAGAGAATAGGCTTTCCAGACTGCACCAGGACTCTTGATGAGACTCATGTGACCACTTCAAGAGGTATATGAGTACATAAATCTCAAAGGATACTCTATTGTTATGCAGGCCCTGGTTGACCATAGGAACAGATTCATGGACGTTAACGGGAATGCACTGGCAGGGTGCACAATGCCAGGGTGTTCGGAGATTGGACTTTACCTTCATGGAGAAGTTGTGACATTGTTCCCACTCAATGACATAGTTATAAATGGAGTCACTATCCCCACTGTTATTCTAGGAGACCCTACCCACTGTTGACATGGCTTTCGAAACCATATGCTATTTTTCAGAATACCAGGCAAAAGAAGATTCAACTATATATACTCAGTAGCTGTAGAATGGTGATGGAATGTGCCTTTAGCAGACTGAAATCCCATTGGCACTGCCTTCAAAAGCATTTGGATGCCAGTGTCATAATGCAATCAACATTATTGTGGCTTACTGCACTCTGCCCAATGTCTGAGAGGAGAATGGGGAATCTTTTCACTAGGAATGGACTCTGGGCACTGCTGGATTGCTGAACCAGTATACACTGTCAGACAGTGCACCTGTCATGACTAGTGCATGCTTACTGTGCTTTCACTGTCCCATGCATGAGGGGAAATGAAATGGTAGTTGAGGCTGCTCTCTCTATGAGTGTGGGACAGCAGTGGGAAGATTTTTGTAAATGAGTTGGTATTGTGCATTATGAATTCTGGAAACACTTTGATGAAATGTATGGAGATAGGTTATGCATTTTATTCATACTGACAAACAGTTTATGGAATACTGTGATACGTTCATAAATTGTTGTTATGAAAGTTTGAGATTGGGTATGGGATGACACTCATGAAAGTTTGTGCCACTTTTAGTATTACATATAATAAAACTTGTGGTTGTAGCTTTGTGTGCAAATTCAACATTTTATTTTACTTGAGTATTTACATGTCGTAAGAACCAGAAATGCACTGCAGGGCACAATAATGGAGAGGAGACTAAGGCTGTGGGTCAGGTGAAGGAGCTGAAGGTGGCACTTAAGCCTGCAGTCAGGTAGCTATGAGTGCAAGTAATTGCTTGAACAGTTCCTTCTGCCGTGTTCTGTCTTCCTCCCTCAACCTGCAGTCATGTTCCATGAATGTCTGCCAATCTCTCCTCACGCTGGGCAGCCTCTCTGTGTCTCTCCACCCTGCATGAATCCTTATCCTTTTGGTACAACATGTGGTCCTTCTGTACCTGCTAATTAATGTTACGTAGCAGGTCTCCTAACAGCTCATCTAAGACTCTTTCTCTTACCCCACAGTAGATTGGTCTGCACCCACAGGCTCCTTATACCATGTGTCTGGAAGGGCCTTGAAAATAGAGAAACAGAACATTATTATCTGAGCACGATAAAAAATACATTTCACAGTTTATGAAAGGGGCTGCTTTAATTCAAGGTCAGAATTTATCAATGGGATATTCTGTTCACACCAAAACCACCATCATTTTGGATATCCTTTTGAGCAGCATTAAAAACTAGCAGACATCATGGTAAGAGACAGATTGAAAATTCAATTCAAATTATTTCTAAATCCCCTTTGGGGTGGGGGTGTGGAGGAGGAGTTGTTTGGGGCACACTTATGAGAAGTCTAGTTACTAGCTATGATTGTTCAGTCCTGTCAGGCAGGGTAGGCTCTGGAGAACACTGATATTCTGAGGTTCCTGAGTGGAAGTATGAACTCCTGTTTGAGGCCAGCCGTTTAGGCATCTAGCAACCCAACAGCATGTCATGGAATGAAGGGGGCTTGAGACTTACAGAGGCAGCCCCAACAAGAATGCCCTGCCACAGAACATAAGACTGTCTAGAGTTCCTACTCTGTGAGAAGTTCACTTTCATCACCAACCAGCAATGGGTGAAAATTTCTACTGATTTAACATGAAGACATAGTACAGCCTCCTTGTGAGCACACTGTGTTCCTGGACAACCTCCGACTGATTGCCAGCCATTGGGATCCCTAATACAGTCAGCCAGCCACCCTTTGCTATAACTTGGACTCAGACATTAAAGCAAGCGATGGACCAAATGCATAATGTGGCTTGGTTTGCACTTATAACAGTCAGGATTTTAGGGACTCAGTTCATGGGCAGTCTAGGACAGTTTGGGTCCAGCCGATTTATAAGGTGTGCTATATTATGTGGGAGGAGTATGTGAGGCTGTGAATTGTGGAGTCCAAACCCACACTTAAAACAATTAACGAGTAACTAGTAAAACTTTCATGGTGACTGCGTGTTTAACTTTTTTCCTCTTTTCGCAGTGTGCATTTTGAAACTATGTGGCGTCGGGGGGGATGGGGAGAGGGCCTGCGGGAAACAGAGTGCCAATAGAGAAGTGGTGTGGTTTCTGCCCTGAATAGAAAATCACAAAAATCCCAGGTTGTATTAATAACTTCATAGGCCCGTGAGCTGGCATCCTTGACTCCGTGGTAGTCTGTCTTCAGCCACTTGATTCACTCTCTGCGTTCTTCTGCTGTCCAATCGATCTCTAATGCTGCCAGTTGTGCCAATATAATTTTGTAGACATGATCATTCCTTGTGCTCTTGGTGAAGTTGAGTGTATTGCTTGCTTGACAACAGAGGTTAAGCAGAAGCCAGCTGTGTTCCTTTGTTCAGCTAGCAGTGTGCTTTTTCTGTCAGACTTCATCTTGCTTCTGGGCATAGCTAATACACATTAGAGTTGACTGACTGTGTTGTTTCCAGTTGAGCAGTCCACATGAAATGAAGGATTAAATACCAAGTGGTTGTGTTTGAACCAGGAGGTTGCTTTGGGTTTTGGGGAAGTGCGTGCCAAGTTTTGGATTTGAAGGGCTGGGAAGCACAGCACAGGGGATCGTGGGATAGCATTGGCAGACTCTCCAGACTGAAGTGTGGTGATCTGGACTTGAGCTGCGTCCACACTGCAAAATGTCTGGCTCTGACCCGAGTCACCAGCACCTCTCTGACTCCAGACCTCAGTCCAGAGGGGTTCCTGGCTCAAGTCAAACTAATTTCTGTGCAAATGGAAAGGGGGTCTTGGGCTTAAATCTGGGTCAAAGTCTAGATTTAGTGTGTTATGTAGACTGTGCAGATGTACCTCTGTATACTACAAAGGATTGCTGTGCAATAGCTTCTCTGACAGAAGTTTGGAGCAGAGATTTTGGGGAGTATGGTTAGTTAGGGTTACCATACGTCCGGATTTTCCCGGACATGTCCGGCTTTTTGGGCTCCAAATCCCCGTCCGGGGGGAAATCCCAAAAAGCCGGATGTGTCCGGGAAAATCGGGACATGCGGGGCCGGCGGTGCTGGGCCTGGGGCCGGGCCGGCGGTGCAGTGCCGGGCCGG